TGAAAGATTAAACTAATATAATTAGCCAATTAATTCGTAATTCTTCTTTCTCGTTCACGTTTCTCCGTTTCAAGATCGATCGAGAAAATCAATGCTCTTAAATTTCTCTTAATCGTTACGTATCAACACCGTGAAATTTATTCCAAATTTGATACGATTTGTCGTACGAAATAATGCGTGTACACGATGATTAATTGGAAAAAATAAAATTTCACGTTGCGTTCACGGTCCGAGGCGATACCTTCGTATTAATCTTTCAAAGGATACTTATTAATTCTCGTAATACCGTATCAATCTATCAAATTCAATTACAATTACGCGAATTCGATCTCCTTCTCGGCTATTAAATCGTTACGTAACGCGTTCGAATGCATCGTTGAAATAAATTATGTTACATACGATCGAAGCTGGGATTAAAATTCGCTTTTAATCTTAATCTCGACGCGATCGCGAACTCGAACGTGGTCGAACAAGTTTAAGAGGAAATTGTATTATATCGCAACGGTAATAAAAAGTTTGGGTTAAAAAATGGTTAAGAGATAGGATTTATTGGAGAAAGGAGAGATAGAATTTGCTTTCGACCTTTGTTCGATATTAGACGCATACAAGTTAACAAGCGCGTCAACATTTCTGGACGATCTGCCACGTACGACCGATCGTGTATTCGTGTACAATTTCGAGTATCAAAGGTTAGTTGTGTAATCGGTGAAGATGACGTTGAATTTCGGCTGTTTCGAATATTATTAATCGAACAAACGATCGTGATACAAAAATAAATATCGTAGTAGTCGATATTGTATTCGTAGGGAGGGGGGAGGGGGATCGAAAACGGATCCAAAAATGTAGTACAAAGTTCTGTTTTGATAAAACACTTATCGCGATAAAATGGTGTGTCGCTTGAAATATAGAGAACGGAAAACTGATTATTTTATTTAATCTCCTAGATATCGCGCTACATTTTAGATCGATCCACTTGGAATCGATCCCACAATGGTCAAATCCCTCCGAATTCCTCGTTTCGTTTTATATATATATATATAAACGTATTTTCATCGACGTTGAAAAATCACTTTATTAACTTTTGAAACGAAAAAAGAGAATGGAAAGAGGAGGGGGGATACGTTCTCGATTGTTCGAAATTTCTTCGAAACGAAAGAAATAATCGCGAAACGAGAGGAAATTCGATGAAACGATGAAAAGAACAATTGAACGGATGAAAAACGAGGTTGAACGAAAGGAAAGCAGGATTATCCACGGTAGACAGGCAAGAAATCAATGTAAAATTCGACGCATGCGTTGAAATTTTTATTTCACTTAAATGATACGCGAGTAAATACCTTATCGATCGACTGGTTCAAGAATAACGCGGAGAGAGAAGCTAGACTCTGGCAATACGTAGCACGATAATTTCAATTTCATCGTGAAATTATTCTCACCGACTTTTCAGCGGAAATTTCTCTCTCTCTCTCTCTCTCTCTCTCTCTCTCT